TCTCCCAGAGGTGTTATTCCCCTGCAATGCCCCCTCCCTGGGACCTAAATCCCATCCCCCACTGTTTAGCTCTTTCCCAGCCCAACAACCTCACCGAAGTGTGTGACCAGTAAGAGTAGTCGAAGGTGAAGCTTTTGGGGCCATCCTTGTTCTGTTTGGGATTGATGATGGCTGAGGGGGCAGGAAAGGGCAAAGGAAGGCCAAGGTCAGGTATCCCCAACCTCTGCTACTTGCTACAAGCCCCCAAATCCAGGCATCCTACTACTTCCCTCCTCTGTCCTAGTTCATCTCTCCCCTTTAGTACTCCCTGCCCCTCCCACACCAAAGCTAATTTTGGCTTCCTAGGGCCCGCCCCCACCAGACTGCCTCCTTGGATTGGGCAATGGAGGGCTCCAGGCCAACATTCCCCCTCCCAGGGACTGGCAGCACGCAAAGGCCAGCCTGTCCCAACCCCCACCCTCACAACAAGCACCTGCTCTGTCCTGGGCAGAGCCCTGCTCCCAGTTCAGCCCAGCAGACCTGGCCTGCGTGGTGGGCCCTGACCCACCCTGCCTGTGCCCAGCCAGGCTCCTGGGACTCACTCACAGGTGGTGCTGCCCTGCATGCTGACCACACACTTGGCATCCTGGCTGGTCTCACGGGCATTGAAGGGCCGAACCCTCACTGCCACTTTCACCGAGGCACCAGTCATGGCTCCCGATACTCCCACCCTCCTCAGCTAAAGAACAGAGACAGAAGAGGTGGTTAGAACTGCTGGGGGTCCCATGTGTTGCCTCCCAGCTTCTCCAAGAAACCAGTCTCTCCAACCCCCATTCCTCAGCTACTCAACCCCTCAAAGAACCCAGTTCCTAGTTCCCTGGCCCTCCTCCCAAATGTCACTCTCCTGAGGGACCCCCAAAAGTGTTTGTGCCTCTCTTCCCTAGTCATATCCCAGCTCGTCGAGTTACCTGTCGTCCCGGCCCCAGACCAGGGGGGCTGTATCAGCTCTGGCTGCCACCGGCCCTCGTAGGGAGAGCCCCATCCTATACTTGGGGCCTGGCCACAGCAGCTGGGGCTGTGGGGGAAACCCTGGTTGTGGGGGAAGAGTGGTTAGGAGGCACCTGTGGCTCCAGAGGTGTGTTTGGGGTTGCATGACTAGGGACATGGGGTGGGGGGCAATGTTAGAAAAAATAAGGATAGCTGTCCCTCTGGAGTGGCCAAACGCAATGTGAATCCAAGGGCAGAGACGGTGATATTTTTATTCCTCGTCACTCACAAGTGTACTGAACGTCAGATAGAGGAGAGGGCAATTCAGAGAAAGGGACACATGGGCAGAGACATTGAGGGTGGCAGGAAGGGGGAAGAGGAGCAGAAAGTCACAGACACCAAGCAAACAAGAGACACAAGAGAGAAGGCAAGATTGAGGTCAGGCTATGAAGGAAGTAAAGAGAGGAAAAGGAAGGCAAGACAGAGATGGGAGGACAGACAGGGAGATCTCCAGCGCAAAAGCACAAACTGGGAGGCCAGAAGAGAAACAAGAGGAGAGAAAATCCCAAACATAAAACCTGCCCTAAAATTCCCCCACACGGTCAGCCAGGGAGAAGTAGCAACCAGCTCCCATCCAGGGCCCACAACCTCCACAGAGGCAGGGATTGCCGAAGGGCAAAGTTCAAGTGCTGGAGGTAAAGCCCAGGACTGGGATCTGCCTGTGGCCCCAAACCCCTTGCCCAGCCCCCAGCACTTCCTCCTCAGGATCCAGGACAATGGGCAGGAGAGGGTGGGGTCATCCTGCATCCCTCAACCCCAGGGCTCCTCAGGGGAGGAAGTCAGAATACCTGCGTCTTTATGGGGAGTGGAAAGTAACCTTAGGGTCTGTCTCCCGGAAAAGGGAAAGAAGGGAAAAGGGAAGCAGGCAGGTCCCAGCCCCAGCCTGAGGCTAATGCTATGGCGGCGTCCACTGATCTGGGGAAGGTGCCAGGCAGGAGCCCAGGAATGTGGGTGATCGGGTGCCCACACCCTGGAAGGAGAGGCTGAGCAGCCCACGCCCACGGACACAGGGTGGAGAGTTGTGGAGAGAGATCAGGGATGCTGGGGGCCCCTTCTGAAGCTCTAAAGGACCTCAAACTCCTGTCACGTTGGTTGGGTCTCACCTCTCCAGCCTTGCGGGTGGGGGCTCGGAGAGGGCTGGTTTGTCCCGGGACAGGAAGGGAGTAGCTGATATTAGAGGCTTTCTCAGGAAGAACAGCCCTGACCCCAAGACCCTGATCACAGGGGATAGGGACATTGGTGGGGACACGCAATGGTGACGCCGGTCGCCGTTGCGGCCGATGGGGCAGGGAGGGAATGGAGTGGCACAGCTAGGGTATAGCGGAGTAAAGGACTAGAGAATAGGTAGTGGTCGGCCGGTGCAGCGTAAAGGAGCAGTGGGGTACAGAGAGGAGCTGCGGCTCAGGCGGGGCAAACCCACCCAAACAGGGGCCTTGGGCCACCTGGACCTTGCGTGCTGGCAGTTCTCAGAGAGGCCCCGGTCCCGGCCTTTCTGGGAGGCCGTGAGGACCCTGTCCTCCTGTCCAGCCAACCGACGGCTGCCCCGGGCCTGGCACCTCTCCGCGCCTCCACAGGACAAACAGCACACGATCTGGGGTCTCGCGGCCAGCCGGCCCCCGCGGGGTCGTGCTAGCTAGGACCCCGGCTCCCCGCCCCCTAGCCCGACACATTCCTCCGCGGGCGTCCCCTCCCTCAACCCCCTCCCCCAGCTCTCACTTCGAAGCGGCAGGGCTCTCGGAGCGACTCGGCACAGTGCAGACAGACAAACTTTCCAGGAAGCGTGAGACGAGAGCGGGGGAAATCCGGGACCGGTTCGGGGGGACCCCCGCCCCTCGCCGGGTCCCCGGGCGGCGGACTCACGCCCGGCGGGCGGCTGCAGCAGCGGCGCCAGCGGCCGGCGCCCGCCCGGGCAGCGCGAGCTGGGGCGGGAGCAAGGGGCGGGGAATAGATGGGCACGCGCACGCGCGCGCCGTCCCGAGAAGTGCCCGGGAGCGACTTAGACTGTTAAAGAGGCAGTGCCCTGGAGACTGTAGGGCCCACCAGTCGGGCACGGGAAGCTAGGTTGCGGGGGCAGAAGGACTAGCTGGACACTGGAATTCAAAAGGGTTATTGGCGCCTGAGGAGCCTCAAAGGTGGGGGCAGACCTTGTAGAGGAACCCAGGCCCCGGACCCGCGCACGTTGCTGTCGTCCGAGGCGCGCTCACGGGGCGGAACCACTCGCCCTGCCCCGCCCAAGAGGAGGCTCAGCGCAGGCCCCGCCTTCAGGCGCGCGGTGCCGGTCGGCTCCTCCCTCGATCCAGTCACCTCCTCGCTTCACTTCCCCGCCGGGCCTAGCGTTCTAGAATTCGCGGCGCGGCTCCCTCAGGTGCTGTGGCCAAGTGCGGTCAGCGGCGGCACAGCCATCCCGGCGCTCTGTCCCTGCCTGGCCCTCAAGTTGGGTAGGGCAGGGCGCGGCCGCCGCCGCAGGCCCAGGCCACTCCTCCCGACCCGGCCTGACCCCCATAGGGTCCAGACTGTCCCTCAGGCCACCTTCCCTCTTCAGACTCCTAGCTTTGTCCTCAGGCTTGGCTGCTCCCCGAGGCCTGGCTACGCGCCCAGTCTATCTGTCAAGGGTCCTCTTACCCCTCTCAGGAGAAGGCGCACACTCAGGCCTGGCCCTTCCCTCCAGACAACACTACCGCCCCCCACCCCCACAACCCTTAGCCCAGACTGAACCCTCATCTGCCTTGTCAGACACACTTTGCCCTCCAAACCCTTGACTACCTTCTGGGGTCAACTGTTGAGTACTTGGTCTAGCTTCCTTAAGCTCCATTCTTTCTCTTAGATTTTGGTCTCCCATTTAGACCCAACTACAGGAGATCTGAGTGTCCTTCAGCAGCCAACTGCCCCCGAGTTCAGCTTAGCCCCTCTACCCCGGGACATCCCATTATAGACCCCTCCTGCCTTTTCAGCACAACCTCTGCCCTAAGTACTCCTCTCTCTCTCTCTTTTTTCAACCTCACCTGTTTGCCCAACTCCTCCTTAGTTGCCCTTGGAAAAAGTTATCAATTGGCCTTTTCTGTTATTTATGCTTCCTGCAGGCACTCTCCCAACTAGCATTCTTAACTGCTTTTTCTGCTCACCCCAACTGGTTCTCAGTATATTTGGCTGCCCCTAATTCTGGCTCTGTGCAACTGACTTTGCTCACCTTCTTTACCTATAGACACTCCCACTAGCCCCTTCCTTCCCTGTCACCAATCTGCCACTCTGTCCACACATAACTTTCATTAACCCCACATACCTGATTTTATTTTACCAACCCTCAATTCTGTAACCACCCCCAGCCACTAATTCTATACCACAACCCACAAATACCTGTCCTATCTAGTTTCCACCTGTCATCTTTTTTCATTTCATCATCTCATATTGCCAAGTAAGTCACTTAACTGCCATTTGTAAATTTCATTTCCTCTGTACATTTGGCTTCAGGAACTTTATTTTCCCCTTTATCTTTTACCACATTCACATTTCCTGGGCTCTCCATCTTTAACCTGTATATTCTTCAGCTAATAGAAATATGCCACCCTGGCCAGTGTGGCTCAGTGGATTGAGCAATGGCCTCCAAACTGAAAGGTTGCCAGTTCAATCCCCAGTCAGGGCATGTGCCTGGGTTGCGGGCAGGTCCCTAGTTGGGGGTGTGCAACAAATCCATGTTTCTCCCCCTCTCTTTCTCCCTCCCTTCTCCTCTCTCCAAAAAAAAAATAATAAAGTTTTTAATTAAAGAAGAAGAAAAATGTCCAGCACTAGAAATACCTTTTAAGCTCTTGCCTTTTTTAGGGCCCATATATATTCCTTCCAATCTCTAGATATGTTACTGGTCTCATCCCTACAGCCATTACATGAATGAATGATTCAGTTTTCATTATCCTCCCAAGCACCAATGAAGAGACTGAGTCCAACCACCCAGCCCAGTCAAGTCAAGCAGGTATGCGAAGATGGAGACAACCTTATCCCCTTTGCCAAGTGAGTCATCCCCACCTAGTGGGGAGAATGGGGATGGGATGGAGAAAAGATTGCATGCTTGGGTTCTTTCCTAAAAAACAGTCGGAAGTAAGGAACAAGAACTCAATGCCTGGGCTGAGGAGATTGATGACTCATTAATTCAGTCAACAAATAGTTTTTGAACACTACATTGTTCTAGGCACTGTATTAGGCACCAGAGTTCAGCAAGTAGAAAGACAGGGTCCTGCTCAAAGAGCTTACATCCTAGAAGGAGGACACAGAATATGGAAATAAATATAATTTCAACTAGTGATAGGTACCATGAAAAAAAAAAACCAGGAGTGTAGGGAACCAGGGAAACCAGGGAAAATAGAATGTCATGGAGACATAAGTTTAGATAAAGTGATTGTGGAAGACTTCTGGAGAGGTGAATTTGAATTGAGATCTGAAAAAGGAGAAGGGGCCAATCTGATAAGAACCACGGGGAGAAGAAGGAATAGTAGTTTTTTAAAAAACCCAAGAAAGAAACAAGCTTGGTATCTTCTAAAACCAGGAAGCAGTCCAGTATAACTGAAACTTAGGGGTCAAGGGAAATATGGAGAGTGAAGTCAGACAGTTAGATAGAGGACCTAATAGGCCATTGAAAAAGTTTGGATTTTATTCTAAGGACAGAATAAATCTTGGATTTTATTCTGTCTAAGGACAGTGGAAATCAATGGAAGTTTTTAAGCAAGGGAATGACATTAGCAGACTTTTTTTTTCTCCAACTTTTTTATTATGGAAAATTTCAAACAAATACAGAAATAGAGAAAGTAATAATCATGAACCCACTGTACCTTTTTCAGTCAGCTTCAATAATTGTCATTATATGGATAATTTTTTCATCTGTACACCTATCCAGCCTCCTACTACTCAGCTTTTTTAGAAGCAAATCTCAAACTGTAATGCAATTCACATGATCATTTTAGAAAGAGTACTGACACTGCTTTGTGAAGAATAGTTTGGAGGGGATTTAGATGGAAGCAGGGAGAGAAGGAGGAGGCCATTGTAATAGTCCAGGCAGGGGAAGATGAGCTGGAATATGGGGGTGGGAGTGGAAATGATGAGTAGTCAAATTCAGGTATATTTTTAGGTGTAGAACTGTCAGGACTTGCTGATAGACTGGATATGGGAGGTGAGGGAAAATGAGGCATACCAGGTTTTTGGCTCTAGCAACTGGGCATTTGGGCTGCCTTTCAGTGAGATGGGGAAGGGTAGAGAGGAGATAATGAGTGGGCAGTTGGACCTGCAAGTCAGAGTCCGGGAGAGGAGCCAGGGCTGGGAATATAGATTTGGGAGTCATCAGCACATTGGTGGTATTTAAAGTTATGGAGTGAAAAATAAAGTCATGGGCCTGGCTGAGATCTCTTAAGGAGAGATGGAGATGGAGAAGATAAAGGGCTGAGCCCTAAGTCCTGGGACACTCCTAGAGAGCAGGAGAGCCATCATCATTCAGTTTGTGGGCTTTGGAAGTGATGAGCCCTGTTCTCAAACAGCTCTGCACATCCCTCAGTGTGTACAAGGCTATTAGTCTTTCTGAGATAGGGGAAACAAAACAGGAGTAAACAGAGGTTCTCCTCTCCTGGATCCTTGCATTAACCAAAAGGAACCTTTTGTGTGTCATCACCTGAGTAGCTGGGGCCTTCCTCTTTAACAGCCCTGCTTGCTAAATATGATGTTTTCTGGTTGTGGGGTGTAGAAACTTGAGATTCGCTGAGATCGGAGGCTCAAACAGTTGCTAATCTCTACCCTCATCCCAGGTCCAATATCCTTTCAAATCAGAGGCTTTACCACTTTCCTCAGCTAAAATGGATAGAAGACATGGCCTGAAAGAGCCTGGGCAGCTGTATGGCCTCATGGAAAGACAGGGCCTCTGGATCTCTGGGGTGAGTAGATGCTGTGAGGAAACAGCCAGACCCTAGCCTACCTTCTTCTCACCCCAGGTATTCCAGGGTGGTCAGCCGACCTCCACCTGCCAGCTTACCTTCCCAGAGCCTCAGGCTGATGACCCAGAGTTACAGAGACATCTTCTGGGACAGCCTTAGTCAAAGGCCCAGGTGGGTAGAAATGGAGAAAATGGGGACTAACTGGAGGTGGGAGGGTGAAGCTATACAATTTTAAACAACCACAAGGCTTTAGAACAATATGCACTACTCTGAGGATAACTGCCCCACTGGCTGATGGGCATTGTAGCTCCTAATGCTTCATAGACAGGAGGTTGGGAGAGGTCATTAGAGAAACAACATGGATGGGGTGCCCTCTCTGCACTTAACCCCCTTTTTGTGCTTTACAGCCCCACCTGGATGGAAGAACAGTACATCCCACCCCTGCTGGTATGACAGACTTTCTGCCCTTCAACCCTTCTCAGTTAAAATTGTACCCACTGCCATCCTATCCCCAGCTCTCCTTATTACCCCTTCCATCTACTGTCCCCCAACGAGAGCACTGAACAGGCCCTCCTTCCTATGAACCAATCAGTGTGTCTTCCAGATCGCAGCTGTTTTTGTGATCCAGGCTTCCCAAAACCCCTGACTCCCTGTTTCAATCCAAGCTCCCTTGAGAATCCCAGTGCCATCTACCTCTTTTTCCCCATTCCCTGGCACAGAGAGCTACTGGTTGTTCCCAGCCTGGCATGTACCCCCTTGAGGGCCTCCCACCTCTGGAGATGCTTTGCAGAAGAAAGAGGAGGCAGCCATATTTGACAGGAATGCAGCAGGGACCTGGGGGCATCCCAGCCCGAGTAAGGGCTGTCACTTACCACCTAGAGGATCTAAAGAGGCGACAGAGAATCATCAATGAGTAAGGAGAGACATCTGGGCTCTGGGAGCCAAGCAAGGGTTGGAGGCAGAATGATTTGAACTAAGGAAGGGGTGGAGAGTTTTGAAGGAATTGGAGGGAGGTTGGAAATAAATCATGGACTTGGTGGGTGTTGGAGCAGAACTTCCATAATGGGGAAGGAAGGAGCTGAGGGATGGAGGTGAGCCACACGAGCTGGAAGAAGTGGCAACTGGATCACTGAAGACAGGAAAGCACTCCATAGAACTGGAGGATAGTGGGGAGCTAGAGGTCACCTCTGAGTCCTTGAACTAAACATAGTTCAGTCTGAGGGGAGCAGAAAGTTAGGAGTGGAGAGTTGGAAGTCAAATGACAATGCCCCTGGGTCCCAGCAGGAAGTATTTTAGGGCAGAAAGGTGAAGAATGGAGGGACAGGAAGCCTGGCCTACAAGCACCTCTTCCTAAGCCTAAAATCTCCACAGACTAAAGAAGGCCCAGTGGGGCAGCTCTGGGGCTGCATCTGAGCCCCTGCTGTCTGGCGAAGTGGGCTGTAGATTCCCCAGCACCACTGAACACCCTGATCTGGAAGAGGAGAGGGCAACCTATCCACAGGAAGAAGATCACTTTCTCCCTCCTGGCAGGGCCCAGGTATGGCTAGAGAGGAATTTGGTGGTGTGATGGAGGGTAATGGAATGCCTGGTTGTGTTGTGACCATTCAAGGCTGGGCAAATTCATGGTATTCGTGCAGGTGGAAGAATATTCACAGCCCTTGGGATGTCTGGCATGCCTTTATTCACAGGTGGGTGAGCCATGCACGCTGCAAGTCTCCCTGCGTGTCACATGTCATGGCCGTTGCTCCTCGGCATGTCTCCCATCATGGCACCCAGCAGGGAATCTCTACCTATTTAAATAACAGAGGTGAACAAAGCCAGCCAGATGCCAGAAATTATATAACATAGCAATTCTGCACATGTGAGCCCACTTCATGTTATGGGAACAGTTTATCGGGCCCAGTCTCAAGGCTATGAGAACACTGGTTATCAGGCCCCTCCAAGGCTATGGGAACACAGCTTCCCTTAGCTACCCAGACACCTGGGTAAGGAAGCCAGACTGCCTCCACTTACCTTACACTGGTCTTGCATGGAGAGACAGCGGAAGCCAAGAGCCAAGTTGAATTGCTGGATTTGAGGGGAACAATAAAGTAGTGGGGAATCAGAGGCTCGAACAGTAGGCCCTGAATTAGAGGGAGGAATCAGGGGGGTGTCTGGGTTTGGGCATTAGGAAATCTGGTGAGAGACATACTTTTTTTATTCTTTCTTTTTTCAATTTCTCTCATCTTTACAGCTGCTTTGGTCCCCCTGGAATCCCCTGGTCCAGGAAGGATCTTGTCTCTCCAGGCAGTTGAGCTCTCTACCCCACTACAGCACTGTCACAGACAGTAAGAACCCCCTTTACTGTCCCTGGGGAATGGAGTTGCAGCCTGAGGAGTAAGAAGAAACCGTCCGTGGTCATCCAACTTGCTTGCGCTGCCTCAAAGACCCAAGCCTCCGTCTCGCCGCTGGACTTCACCCCCTAAGGAAGGCGTCAGGGCACTTCCCCTTCCTTAGCCTCCCCCAGCTTCCTCTCCCATCTTCTGCACTAGGCACTAACAGGCCTCCCATCTCAACCCACCCCTCTCAAGGAGCTCCCAGGTCCTGTTGCCGTCCAGGCCTGGCTCCCTGGCAGTGTTCTTTTCTCTGTTCTATCATTAAAAATCAAACAAGTTGAGTCCAGAGTTATCTTTCTCTCTGGAAGCAGTGATGGGAGAGGCTAATGGGGAGGACCCGGCTAGAGTGAAGTCGGGCTAGGTCCCCAAAATTCGAGGAGTCCTGTCCACCAGTCCAGCGATCCTCGCCCAGTACGGGATGGCCGCTGGCGCCCCACTCTGCCGGCTCGAATATCATGCCAGTTGGCCACGCTTCCGCATCTGGGACCCCGGAACCCAGGCCCTCTATACTGCTGCCCACCCCCACCCCCCCGGGGTTTGCTGGCAGCCGGTCCCTCCACCAGTGCCCCACCTGGACTCTCCCCTTGTGCAGCACCCAGGTTCCGTTCCCGACCCCCTTCCCCTTAATTGGGAGGCCCCGCCCCGTGCGCAGTGACGTTGGACGCCGCTGTCAGCCGGCGCTGGGGGGGTTCGGTGTAGGGTAGAATGGCCGCTGCTGCCGTCACCTGCGGGACCCCGGGAGGTAAGAGCCAGAACCTTTTGCCCGCCTCTCCGCCTCCGCGCCAGGGGGCGCAACTCTACCGGCCCAGGCGTGGTGCTCAGCGCGGGAGACCACTGCTCCTCCTCCGGTTCGCCCCCACGGCCCGCTTCCGTCCTCCTCCCCCGCGCCAGGGGGCGCCGCTCCGTGTAGGGCCCCACCGCGGACCTGCCGTAATGGGACTGCTTGGGGGACCCCCGTGCCCCCGCTGCCCGTCGCCCCTCGCCCTCGCGCGCACTCTGCTCCACAGTTTCTCCAGAACATCCCTCTCTGCGGGCGGGAGGCAAGAGCCTCCTACCTCCGATCTTCTCCCAGGACCACCGCCCCACCTTGGGGGAGCGCCCCGGTCGGTTCCGCACCCTTGCAGGCGGCCTAGCCCAGACTGCGCACCTGCGCCCGGTGGCGGAGCCCATACACCAACCCAGGCAGCCGAGCTTGCAGGGGCCTCCCCGCCCCCCACCCCCCACGTCATCCTCGGACACCTGGCGAAGCCCGCGCTGAGAGCCTCCTCCAGCTTCCATCTGTTCCCCCAGGAGGGTGGGGGTTCGGGCTGGAGCCAGAGTGGTAGATGGTGTAGGGTATAGGCCTGGAGGCCATGGGAGAAGGAGGCGTTTGGGAAGGGTGGGGAGAAAGGTGGGTAAGGGGTGGAGAGGGCTATCAGCCTCTGCGTTGTCCTGAGGGTGGAAGCTGGATCCTGGGTGTCTAGCCTCGATTGTACTAGGCCTTGACCAGCCTGTACCAGAGAGAGAGGGGTCAGGATCGGTTACAGATCTCTCTTTCCTCTTGGAAAAATCAAATAGAGAAGGGACTCAGGGTGTGTCTTCTAAGGCCTAGCTCTCCAATCGGACTTAGATCTCCTGCCCAACCCCCAACGCCCAGCATCCAGCCTCTCCTTTGCCAAACTAGTCTCCGAGGACCGGATGCCCTGAGTCCCAGTCCCCAGGACCTGATGGACCGGATGCCCTAAGTCCCAGTCCCCAGGACCTGACGCCCCTGAAGCCCCAGCCTCCTCAAGGGCCCACGCTGTAGGACGCCAGCCCTGCCAGCCTCACCCCTCCCCCACCTCGCTCTTCCTGATTACACTGATCTGTCCTGTCTCCCCACTCATGTTGGTTCGTGGCACCATGTCTGAGTTCTTCCTCTCCCCCATTCCTTGGCTCTACTCTCACGTCAGAGCTGATCCCATTCCTCTTCCTCATCTTTTCCAGATATCACTACCCAGTTCTGTACTCCCTCTCCCACCTCATTCTCCTCATTCTGGCTAAGTGTTGGGGGTTTCTGCCATGACCTGTTCTGTCTTTTCCCAGCACAGACTCCCCCTCCTCCCGGCCCCTCAGGCCCGGGGTGACCTTGCCTCTGGAACCCTCACCATGAGTACCAAGGACACCACCGAGGTTGCTGGTGAGTTCACAATCCAGGTTCCCATTTTGGGCACAACCTTTCTTTCTCCCTGCCCCGTAGTGACTGTAATTCTTGGATTCCCTGCTCTCCTTGTCATTTGAATTTCCCCCAGTGCTCTGGTTCAGCCCTTTACCCCTGGGCTAGCATGCTAAGCCCTTCCTTCTAATTCTCTCTAGAGAACAGCCACCACCTGAAGATCTTTCTCCCCAAGAAGCTGTTGGAGTGTCTTCCTCGCTGTCCGCTGCTGCCTCCAGAGCGGCTACGGTGGAATACAAATGAGGTTTACTAGGGAGCATGGGGGATTAGGGCCCAGCAAGGTCTGGTGAGCTAGAGGAGGATGAGTTGGGGGGTGGTCTTCAGGTGTCTGTCCAGATTCCCAAGTGCAGAGTATTGTTCTGGGTTCTGTGGGGATCACAGGAAAGGTATAAAGACCTGCATCTTGTAGGAGCTCACTTATTGACCTATTCACCTGAGTAAAAATAATGGTTACCACCTTTACCTTATTTCTTACAAACTGGGTACTGTGCTAAGCACTTGACCTATATTATATCATTTCATTCTCTAACAATGCTATAGAGCAAGCATTTTTATCCCCGTGGTATAGGTGGGTTTATCTAACTCACTCCAGAGCTCCTGCTTTTAAACACCACTGACGTGGGCTCCTTCTGGAGGGCACAGTCCTATGTTATGCACCTTTGGTACTCCCCACACCCAGTGCTTTGTGTGTACTTGGTGAATGATCATTATTTATTTGATTAGAAGACAGCTGTCAGTGAAACGGTATGTGTGTGGTATTATTGTAAATACAGGAAGGGCTGGGGAGGCATCAGGGCTCCTGGAGATCTGGGAAGGGATTTAGTCTGTAGGATGGCTAGGATTTCCAGACTCAAAGAGGTGTGTACACGGCACTTGGGGCTTGTAGGGCACATTGAGGAGGTGACTGCTCAGAGCAAGTTCAGGGAAAAATCGATGGACCAGTCTGGCAGGAATGGTAGCTGCAATATGTATAAATAGTGTGAATGATGGTTTGATCCCTGGTCAGGGAGGACCTCGGAGTCAGGCTCAGGAATCTGGAATTCCCAGCAGTGTCAAACCATTGAAGTTTTCTGAGTCAGGAAGTGGCACAAAAATGGAATTTGGAGAGAGTAAAATAATATGCAGTATGAACAAAGAACGATGAAGAGTTTAGACTTGACCCCAAGATAAAAGCCCCAGTTGGAAGGGAGGAAAGAAGAGGTTAGACTCTTGTTGGCTGGGTTTCTTAGGAGAGCAGTGGGCCTTGCTGGGTCCAGATACCTGGCAGCGTCCTCCACTAGCTGCCAGAACTCAGCAGAGACTGAGACTGAGGAGGTGACCAAGAGGCCAGGCTGACAGGATATGAAGGGGATACCCACCCACGTACCTCTTCTCCTACAGGAGATTGCATCCTACTTGATCACCTTTGAGAAGCATGATGAGTGGCTATCCTGTGCTCCAAAGACAAGGTGAGAAAGTCTGTGAAGGTAGGGAGTGGCAGGAGTCCTGGGTCCTGTTCACAGAACTCAAGGCCAGAGCTTCCCTCTTCAGGCCTCAGAATGGCTCCATTATCCTCTACAACCGCAAGAAAGTGAAATACCGGAAAGATGGTTACCTCTGGAAGAAGCGGAAGGATGGGAAGACCACCCGAGAGGACCACATGAAGCTGAAGGTCCAGGGCATGGAGGTAAGTGAGGCATCCAACTCATTTGCCCTGGCCCATCCTTCTCCATCCTTAGCTGGGTTCCACCCCTGCCAGGGCTTGGTGCCATTGTTCCCCTCACCACCCTCCCTTCTCACTCACTCTGTATCAGCTGGCTGATAGCTTAGCCCACCCTCCACATCCCATTTCCCTCCATGTCCCATCTCTCTGGGCTCTAGGCCATGCCTCCTCTGGAGGACATCGGTGCCCAGTCCCCTCACCTCTCTTGCATTTCCCTCAGGGGACCAAGTACTAAACCTCTAAGCATAGGTTCCTTTTCCCCAGATCATTGTCCCTCATGTCAGATGTGCTCTTGTCCTGCCTCCATTTTCTAGATAGGCCCATATCTCACATGTGGTCCCCCTTGTAAGGCCCTGGTCCCACTGTTCCCTGGTCCTGCCCCTCATCTATGACTTGGGGTGCTAGGATTTTAAAGGTATGGGGAGTTGGTGGGGGTGGGTAAGGATTGAAGAGGAACTGGTGGAAAGATTGGGATTCCTGCAAAGGGACTGAACAGAGGAAGAGTTGGGGAGCAGACTAGCCCTCCCCCCACCCCAGCCTGTCTCCTGGCAGTGTCTCTATGGCTGCTACGTTCACTCTTCCATCGTCCCCACATTCCATCGGCGCTGCTACTGGCTGCTCCAGGTAAGGATGGAAGAGCTCAGGGGGCTACACTCTTCGTGGCTCTTTGAGGGAGATGGGGTCTGAAATGATGCAGTGGAAAGATGACTAGGTTCTGAGTGGGAAAAGGAGCCTGGGGAGATGGGGGGTGGGGATAGAGAGAGCCAGAAATTGGGGAGGAGTTGGGGGGATGTCCAGGAAGAAAGTGAAGACTAGGGAGCTGAGCCCCTGGATCTCAGGACCCCATGGTGCTCTGTGTGTGTACCCTTGTGCCCTCAGAACCCTGACATCGTCCTTGTGCACTACCTGAATGTCCCTGCCCTGGAAGATTGTGGAAAGGGCTGCAGCCCCATCTTTTGTTCCATCAGCAGTGACCGTCGAGAGTGGCTGAAGTGGTCCCGGGAGGAGCTGCTGGGACAGCTGAAACCCATGTGTAAGGCAGCAGGGCTAGGAGAGTGCTCCAAGGGGAGAGTGGACACAGGGGCCTCCCAAAGGCACCAGGAGCCTTT